GGGACGCCGTCCCGAAAAAAGCTGGACGTCGCACGTCTGGATCGGGCTTGAAAGCTACAACGGAAAGATGGGGTCAGGTGTTTTGGTCGTGATGGCTCGTGAGGCTGATTCTTGTCGCAAGTGAGATTTCAGGGGACGCCACGCCGACGGCAACTACAACGACGACGACGACGACGCCGCCGACGCCGACGCCGACGCCGCAGACGGCGACGCGTGCGGTTCGAAGATCCAGGTTCGAGGGTTTGTGGGGCGGGCCGTTCTTTCTGGGGCCTCTGGGGGGCTTCTCGTCGCCACGGACAGATCCCCCTCGAGATTCAAGCCAGAACGCACCCGTGCACGTGTCGATGCCTGAGCTCCAGGGCAAGCCTCCTGGCCGAGCTTTCCATGTCTTGGCCCTTGGAGGATCGGGGATCGCGGTCCGAGTATCGAGGCATTCGAACCACATCTGCCCTTTTCGGACCTCTGCGAAGGCCTCTGGGGGCATCATCGGGACCTCCACAGGCCCCTGGGGACGTGGTGGTCGACGACGACGGCCGTCGTCGCCGCCGCTGCCGCTGTCGCCGTCGCAGTCGTAGCCAATGTCGTCGTGATCGGCGTCGCCGCCGCCGCCGTCGTCGTCAACGTGGTCGTCATCAGCGTCTTCGTCGTCGCCGACGAGGAGGACGGCGACCGCGAGGACGGCGAAGGCGAGGAGGCGGAGCGGGGCCGAGAGCGGACGCACGAAGAGGAGCGAGAGGTGCGACGAGCACGAGGGGGGGCGGGAAGGACGGCGGGAGGCCAGGGGGCAGACGCGGACACCCACGCGCTTTAAACTGCGGCCCACCGCATGGGAGTACTCTCGAGGAGCAGAACATGCGGCGGCGAGCGAGAGAGGGGGCAGTGAGAAGGAGGCCCTCTCCGACGGCGGCGGGACTTCTCAGAAGCCCTCCAGCCTTCTGAGAAAGTGTTTGCGCCTTCGGGGAAGGCGCAGAACACTTCTCAGAAGGCAGCGAGACTTCACAGCCTTCTGAGAAGGCGCGCCCCTTCTCGCTTCCCTCCCGGGCTCGCCGCCGAATAAACATTAACTTCCGGAGGTCCGTGCGGGTTTCTGTGATTGGCGCTGGAGCCATCTGGCGGTGCCTCCGGCGCAGCCCCAGGGCCCCAGGCGCGCGCCGCGTGCCGGGGAGGGGGGTCCAGCGCCGATCCACGAGATTCGAACGGACCTCTGCAGGTGTACGGTCGGAAGCTCTCCCTCCGCGTGTCGCCGCGGCGCCCCCAGCGACACGCGATGCCTCACGAGTGGATAGCGCGTCGCTCCACTCCGCGGGGCGAGAGGCCGGGAACGGCTCGGGACGTTGACGCTCGGGTGCTGGGACGTGGATCGCGTGTCGCGGCGGAGCGTGGTGAGCCAGAACTGGCGGCGCGGCACGCCAAGCCAAAGCCCCCGACTGTGAAGGACATGGGCAGAGGAGGGCAAACGGAGAGGAAACAGAAAGCGATCGAGAGAGAGAGAGAGGGAGAAAGGGAGAGAGAGAGAGAGAGAGAGAGAGAGAGACAGAGAAAGAGAGAGAGAGAGAGAGAGAATGAGAGAGAGAGAGAGAGAGAGCGCGAGAGCAAGGAGCATCGAGAACGGAGGCAGGAGAGAACGCCAGAAGCAAGGAGCGAGAGAGCAAGGATCGAGGACACAAGGTCGAGGCTCGAGGTTCGAGGAGTGTTCGCGGGTCGTCGTTGCTGTTCTGCACGGGTCAGATATTGGCGTGTATCGTGGGAGCACCGCGGGAGAAGGAGGAGGAGGAGGAGGAGGAGGCGCCGTATTACAAAGGGGGGCCACCTGAGGAAGTGGACGAGCGAGAGGGGGAGGAGGAGGAGGAGGAGGAGGAGGAGGAGGAGGAGGAGGAGGAGGAGGAGGAGGAGGAGGAGGAGGAGGAGGAGGGACGAGGAGGAGGAGGAGGAGGAGTAGGAGGAGGACGAGGAGGAGGAGGACGAGGGGGAGGACGACGAGGAGGGGGATGAGGGCGACGATCGACGATGCAGCTCTGGCACCTTTTTTCTGTTGTAGCATCGAAGCAGATGGGTGCCGCACGCTACCTGGAGGAGGCAGAGGAGGAGAAGGGCGGAGGGGCGCGCATTGCCCCACCACCACACTTTCTCAGCAACGCAACACGGTCGGGTATCGCCCCCCCCCCCCCCCCCGGGTACTGAGTACTGACTTGTAGTTGCTTAGTGGTTCCCCCTCATGCGTCTTCTCTTCCATCTCCACCTCCCCCCTCCCCTCCCCCCACTCTTCCCCTCCTCGTCTTCCACTTCCTCCTCCCCGCCCTCCTCTTCCCCATCATCCATTTCCTCCTCCTCCTCCTCCTCCTCCTCCTCCTCCTCCTCCTCCACGGAAAGCTACCGGGATGCTCCACTGTAGAGAGAGAGGGCGGGTGGGGGAGTGGAAGACCAGGGGGAGGGGGGGGAGAGGGAAGGGGGGTGTGAAACCGCGGACCCTCGCCTGCCAGGGGTGAGAAGGTGTGTGAGACACGTGGCTGTCTCGCCTCGCCCGCTCTCCCAGAAGGTGGGGGAGGGGAGGCGGGCCCCCGCCGAACTTGTCGACGCACCTCCGTGGCCCGCGACGCCTGAGAATGCCACCACCCGTGGCCTCCGAGACGCCCAAGACGTCTTCAAAGACTGCTCAAGGAGGGGTCCAACACGCCAGAGCGGCCCCAAGAGCACCCAAGATGGCCTCAAAGCGGCCCAAGAGAGACCACCAGAGGCGCCCCAAGAGATCCCCAGAAGAACCCCCAAGAGGGCCTCAATATGCAGAGGTCCTGCTGCATCTGCCCAAACAGCGAACCCCTACGAGGGCCTCAGTGCAAAGGTCCTGCTGTATCTGCCCCAACAAAGACACACCAGAAGAGGGCCTTAGTACGCATAGATCCTGTTGTGCCTGCCCCCCACCGAATTTTGCACAGATTGGAGTTCTCGCATCCTCGGGCTTTTGCAGGCCCCAAGCGGTCCGCGATGCCCTCCCAGACTGATCCATCACGGTCCAAGAAGCCTCCAAATATAGGAACATGACAGGCCGGCACCAACACCACCAGGGACCACTAGCGGGAGGAGCCAGGAAGTGGTCCCTCTGGTGTTGTGGTCCCCCCTCTCGCTCGAGACATCCCCTATCCCCAGCTTGGGGAGGCATCGTGGACCTCCTCGCTGGAGGTGGCCCCCTGGTCGTGTTGGTGTCACTTCTCCCTCACCCCACCAAGAAGGCCCAGAGATGGCCCAATATGGAACCAAGACGGCACAGAGACCCCCGAGACAGCCAACAAAAAGGCCTTCGATAGGGCCCCCACAAAAAAGGCCCAAGGCGTGGCAGCTCGCAGTGGCCGCGGGAGCCTTTCCCCACACGGTTTCCCCAAGACGCCCCAAGACGCCGCAGAGCGGTCCTCAAGCAGCCCCCAGGAGGGCCCACAAAAACCCACTGGAGCCGTAAAAAGGCTTCCACGAGGCCGCCGCCAAGGCCTTCAAGAGGCCCAAGAATCCCCGCAACAGTCGTGTAGGAAATGGAGGTCAAGTCACCAACAACTGCACGCATGCAACACGACGCGAAGCGGCAAGCCGCACACACGGCATCGGAAGCCGCACACATCCTCTTCTGGGGGCTGGCGGGATAGCGCAAGCCCCTTGAGTCTTCGAGAGCACTCGATTCGAAGTTGGCGTTAGAAAACACTCTTATTGATTGCGCGAGTGCCCTCTGCTGTACGCGAGGGCGCCGCGCCGAATTGAGGCGGCCCGCCCCGAGGCTGCCAGTGTAGAAGGCGAGGGCAGCACTCGGAGGTGGCCAGCAGCGGACCAAAGTGGTGATTACGCGCATCCCTCCTCGGAGGTGGCCAGCAGCGGACCAAAATGGTGATTACGCACATCCCTCCCCCTCCCCTCCAACTCCTCCTTTCGAGGCGGCGAATGGGTACTGAACTGGATGGACCTGGAGAAAGTCAGTCACGAATGGGAGAGAAAGGCAACTACGCTCGGAATCGGTCCCGAGCCCTGGACCCCTTCCATGGGGTCCACCTGCTGCAATTCGCCACCCCGGATCCACTGGTGATGATCCGAAGGCCCGACCACGGCCCCGGGGGAATAAACTTAAGGCAAAGAACTTCCTCGAACCCAGGGCCTCGAGCCTCTCTTCAACCCTTCCTGCTGGGGAACCAGTGCTGGGACAACCTCAGACTCCCAGTAGACTCCAGCTTGCGTATGTCCTGCCGCTCTCCCCTCCTACTCTGTCTCCTCTTCCTCCTCCTTTCCCTCCTCCACCTCCTCCTCTTCCTCCTCCTCCTCCCGCCTCCTCCTCCTCCTCCCGCCTCCCCTCTTCACACACAACCCCGAAGACATCTGAATTCAATGAACGCTGCCCACCGAAAGCACAAGAGAGACAGGGTCAGGCGGAAGGAGAGAAAGCGAGCAGTGACAGTGACGATGGCGCGATGGGCACTACCCCCTCCCCTTTTCTGCTCTTCATCGTCCCTCCTTCCTCCATAGCCGGCCTCCCTGATGAGGTCCGAGACGATGGGATCGGAGGATCGCGCCGCATCGCAACTGCATCGGCGATGCGTTGGCGATGCACCAAGGACGCCGGCGATGCATCTGCGACGTCGGCTTCGAGAAAACCGTGCTCCGCATCGGGCCGCATCGCCGATGCACCGGCCCTGCGGCGCGATCCTCCGACCCCACGCGCTCCGACCCCGTGTGGGAGGCCTGGACTCCCCCCCCAGCGTTGGCCCCCCCCCCCCCCAAATCCTCCTCCTCCTCCTCCTCCTCCTCCTCCCCTCCTCCTCCTCCTCCTCCTCCTCCTCCTCCTCCTCCCCTCCTCCTCCTCCTCCTCCTCCTCCTCCTCCTCCTCCTCCTCCTCCTCCTCCTCCTCCTCCTCCTCCTCCTCCTCCCTCTCCTCCATCTCCTCCTTCTCCTCCTCCTCCTCCTCCTCTTCCTCCTCCTCCCTCCTCCTCGCGCCGCCTGCGCGGGGCGCCCCACCGAGCTCGGAGCGCTCACAGGCCCTGCGGGCCCCCCCGGGGCGGCAGCGTGGCCCAGTTGCCTGTGAGAGGGGGCCCCAGGAGACACAGACGGACCGACGCAGATCCTATCAGGATCGCTTGCGTACCTCAACAAGTGTGTGCGCGTGATGTCTGCGAGCGTGTGCGCGCGCGTCTGTCGGCGAATGCCGCCGCCCACTCCGGGGGGGCACCCCGAGCGGCCCGGAGCGGCGGCACCGGCCGAGAGCCACTGCAAGATCTCAACCAACTCCCAGGGAGGGTGTCTCCGGTCCCCCGCCAGTGCCCACATGTCTCCACGCTCTCACGAAACATAGCGTTTATCTTCGTGTGTGTGTGTGTGTGTCCGTGTGCGGATGGTTGTGGCTGCTGGCTGCGAGACCCTGAGTACGCGGCCTCTGGATGCTCGGCCAGGCGTAAACGCCCGCGCTTCCCAGCCTGCACTCGATTTCTCCCATGCTTCGTAGCCGCGCGCGCGCGCGGCCGCGACGCCAACAAGTGCGTGTGTGCGTGCGTGCGTGCGTGCGTGCGTGTGCGTGCGTGCGTGCGTGCGTGCGTGCGTGCGTGCGTGCGTGCGAGCGTGCGTGCGTGCGTGCGTGCGTGCGTGCGTGCGTGCGTGCGTGCGTGCGTGCGCGTGCGTGCGTGCGTGCGTGCGTGCGTGCGTGCGTGCGTGCGTGCGTGCGTGCGTGCGTGCGTGCGTGCGTGCGTGCGTGCGTGCGTGCGTGCGTGCGTGCGTGCGTGCGTGCGTGCGTGCGTGCGTGCGTGCGTGCGTGCGTGCGTGCGTGCGTGCGTGCGTGCGGGTGTGTGTGTGTGTGCGTGTGTGTGTGTGTGTGTGTGTGCGTGTGTGTGTGTGTGTGTGTGTGTTTCTGTGTTTCTGTGTGTGCGCGTGTGTGTTGGCAGCCGCCACCCGCCATTCGTGGCCCAATTCTGAACGTACCTGCATGCGCGCGCCGCTGCACTCCGTCCGGGCGCCAGTCGCCCCGCTGGGAATTCGCCCGGTTCCCCTTTCTGCGCCCGCGCACCTGCCCGGCGCTACCCCCCACCCGGCAGCTCCGACCAAGGCTCGCCGGACTTTCGCCTCGCATGCCACCACGAGCTTGGCCGCGGTCGCCACTGGCCGCTGCCTACGCCCTCGCCTCTTCCTCCGCCCACCGCCTCGCCTGGCGACCTCCCGCTCTGGGGTCATCCGCTCCATGCCCAGTGCTGCTGTTGCACCTGTTCGGTGCCCACTCTTCGCCTCTCACTGCACCCGCCGGTGCTAGCCCCCGCGCGCATCCCGGCCCCCTCGGGTGGCGGTCTTGCTTTCCTTTTGCTTGGTCCCCCTGTTTCCCGCCTCGTGGCCACCGGTCCTCCAGTGCCCACGGGCGCAGCGCGCTGCGCTGCTCGCGCCTGTCCTTCCCGGCGGCGGCCGCCGTGCTTGCCCTCGTGCTGGTCTTGCCACTCGCCGTTGGCTCCCGCGCGCCGCCTCCCCGCTTGTCCCTGGGGCTGCCGCCCTGCCTCTGTCCAGGTGGAGGCCTCTGCCCCGCCTTTGCGTCCCCTGCGCCCCGGCAGGACGGATCGCCGGCCTTCTCTGGCACTGCCCGTGGCCTCCAGCCTGTCTGCCTGGCCCCCCCAGTTCTGGGCGCGGCCTTGGCCGCCCCTTGGGCCAGCCCTGGTTTTCAGGCTGGCCTGCGGTCCTCGCACCGGCTTCGCCGGTGGGCCTGCTCGCTCGCTGTTCTGCACCCCCGCGGCCCCTATAGCCCTAACCATTGGTTACCCGGGCCGCCCGCCCTCCGGCGCCTCGCAGGACTCTGGATCTCGGCGTTTCTTCTCGCTTCGCCTGCTGGGCGCGTCCCAGCTACCCCCTCCAGCCCCTCTCCTGAGGTGGTCTTCTCCGGCTGCCCTGTCGCCTGGAAGGTCGGCTCGATCTCGGCGCTCCGCCGCCTTGCTGTGCTGCCCTACCCCAGCTCTGTCTGGGCCTTTTCCCCCCGCCTCGCGCGGCCGCCCCTGGCTGCTGCCCGCCCCCAGCCGCCCCGCGGCTGCCGCCCCGGCGCCCCCCCGCCGCGACCTGTCCCCGCTCTGAGCGGGCCCAGCTTCCGTCTCCCTCATGCCCGCGCCGGGCCTTCTCCCTCCGCCACACGTGCATCGCGGCAGAATTCGCAGCTGTATGCCCTACATTCGCCACATCCGCCAGCGCCGTCACTCTACCTAGCCGCCGACGCAACAAAACAGTGTGTACGTATGTATGTATGTATGCATGCATGCATGCATACATGCATGCATGTATCTATCTATCTATCTATCAATATATCTATATATGTATGTATGTATGTATGTATGTATGTATGTATGTATGTATGTATGTATGTATGTATGTATGTATGTGTGTATGTATGTATGGATGTATGCATGTATGTATGTATGTATGTATGTATGTATGTATGTATGTATGTATGTATGTATGTATGAATGTGTCTCTGTATGTGTGAGTGTGTGTGTATGTGCGCGTGTGTGCGTGTGTGCGTGTGTGCGTGTGTGCGTGTGTGCGTGTGTGCGCGTGTGTGCGTGTGTGCGTGTGCGTGTGCGTGTGCGTGTGCGTGTGCGTGTGTGTGTGTGTGTGCGTGTGTGTGTGTGTGTGTTTGCGTGTGTTGCATGTCCCCCTGCAGACGGATCTAGGGCAAACGCCATAGCCAAATAATGTTCAAACATAATCCAAAAGCCATCACAAAATCGCCCCCTGACCATCTTTTGACTGTTTTCGAATCTTCCTTCTGAAGAGGGACAGACCCGACTCAACTACATTAGGGGGCAAACACACCTACCTCTCTTTTGACCACCCTCGCTTCCAAGAGATACCAGTCGATGCCAAGCTACGGCCTGTACTGGTCAGGCCGATTGACGGGGAGGCGCGTGGTATGACTTGGTTGTGCCTGGCAGCGAAAGCGGGGTAGGTAATTCACGCTCCGATGCATTGCTCCCTCCCGTTGCCGGTGACGCCGCCGAGGTGCGCGCGGCTCTGGCGCTGGCAGGGCCACGTCTCCGCGGCGCCCGCGGCGCCTGGCGGCGAGCCCGCGTCCCGCGAGGCGGGAAGCGTCGGCGCCTCGGGGAGGCCCCCTGGGATGCCCGCCCACGACGGCTCCTCCGAGTGCTCGGACACGGGCGAGGGCAGCATGGACTGCACCTCATTATCCTCATCCTCAGCATCATCCTCAGCATCATCATCATCATCATCATCATCATCATCATCATCATCATCATCATCATCAGCATCATCATCATCATACTCATCCTCATCCTCATCCTCATCCTCATCCTCATCCTCATCCTCATCATCATCATCATCATCCTCATCCTCATCATCATCATCATCATCCTCATCATCCTCATCCTCATCCTCATCCTCATCCTCATCCTCCTCCTCTCTCATCATCATCAGCATCAGCATCAGCATCATCATCAGCATCAGCATCAGCATCATCATCAGCAGCATCATCATCATCATCAGCATCATCATCATCCTCATCCTCATCCTCCTCATCATCATCATCGTCAGCATCAGCATCAGCATCAGCATCAGCATCATCATCATCATCCTCCTCCTCCTCATCCTCATCCTCATCCTCATCCTCATCCTCATCCTCCTCCTCCTCATCATCATCATCGTCAGCATCAGCATCAGCATCAACATCAGCATCAGCATCAGCATCATCATCATCAGCATCATCATCATCATCATCAGCATCATCATCATCATCATCATCATCATCATCATCATCATCATCATCATCATCATCATCATCATCACCATCATTATCATCATCATTATCATCAGCAACATCATCAGCAGCGCGGACTGCACCTCGGGGCGCGCGTCGGTGGCGTGGGGGGCAGCGGACAGCCTCGGAGGAACAAAAGCGCCGCATGAGCATAAACTTCCGGAGGCCCGAAGGTTTATGCCAATGCCGAAGGTGACTCATGTTAGGTCTGTCCTCCAACAGCCGGATTTTGGAAGCAAAATCCACCGATCCAGCGTGTGAGTTTCAAAGACCCTTAGATATAGCATGAGCCTCAGTTCTTGAGCTTCAGCTCTGCTGGGGGTGTGGGTGCCGGGGTGGCTCTGCCGGGGTGGGGGGGTGCGCGGGGGGGGGGTGGAATCAATTTTGGTGGCGAAATCGGAGCTCCAGCTCACTCCGGGTCGGCTCCTCGCTCCGGAGAGCTCGAACGCGGGCTCGTAAGAAACCCAGCGGCCGCCCAGACGGCCCTAGAGGGCCCTGAGTGGCCGAAACATCGCTCCAAGACACTCAATATGCTCCTCAGACGGCTCTAGAAGCCTCCAACGCACCCTCCCGACACCTCCTACGCGTGCCCAAAGACGGAAAATCTGTCCCATTCCCTTCGGAGAACGTGTGTTTTGCATTTTCGCTTCTTCGGCCTTCGCAGTGTCCAACACAGCCCAAGAGACCCCCAAACCAGGCCCAGAGGCTCTCAAGAGGGCCCCAAGTCGGCCTAAGAAGGGCCCAAGACGGCCCGGGAGGCCCCCAAGACAGCCCAAGCGGGCCCCAGGACGGGCTTAAGAAGCGCCCAAGAGGGCTCCATGACGGCCCCAGAGGGGCCCAAGACGGGCTCCCGAAGGCTTAAACATTACCATCCTACACACCCCCAGGAGGCCTCCCGGATGCCTCCTGCATGCCCCCCAAAAGCCCAAGACGCCCCCACAGGAGGCCTCGAAGATGCGTCGTAGAGGCCCCTCAACAAGAAGCCCACGCAATCCCTCCAAGCTTTTTCAAACCACTTGCGTTTGAACAAGCGCGCTGGGGCGAAAACGTCCTTCTGACGTTGGGATCGTCCCTGATCGGCGGCACCGGCCGGAGGCCTCTACAATAGAACATGTCAAAACAAATCCAGACATGCTCAAAAATACAACAACAACAAAAGACGTCCCAGGGCTATCTTTCTACCATGTCTGATGCTTCCTCCTACAGAGGGACACACGCCCAACTCAAGATGACTTGTTCTCCGAGGCCTGGAGTCGGTGGAGAGCAGCGACGAGGCGGCGTCCGAGAGGCTGAGGCTCAGGCTGCCTGCTGGCGCCGCGAAGGTGCAGTTGCTGAGGAGGGTGCCCGGCTGCGGAGGGTGCGCCGGCGCCTCGCCGCCGCCGGCGTGGCGGGCGACGCCTCGGGGCGATCGGGCCGCCGCGTGCCTGGCCACCACCTCCGAGAGGAAAATCTCGGGCTCCGCCCCGCCGCCGGCGACTTCGGCACCGTCGCGGTAGACCGCTCGCCACACGGAGACGCCGACATCGCCCCGTCCGAACATGCTCATGCCGTCGGCAGATGCCTCGGTGACGAGGTGGGCCTGACCCACCTGCAGCTCCACGCTGCCGCTGTCGAGTACAGCGAAGCGGACTTGCTGCGCCCTTGCGCCAGGGGGCAGCGCCACCTCCTTGATGCCCAGCGTGCGGACCGTGGCCTCGACGCGCGCCGCGACCGCGGCCGGGGGCTGCGGCCCGCCGCCCTCGCCCTGGCCACCATCGGCGCGCGGCCCCGGCGCGAGCCGCACCTCGGTGACGCTGACGGCGCTGGCCGAGATGACCACGAGGTGCACGAGCCCGGCTCCGCGCTCCTCCGCGTCCCACGCCATGGCGACCGCGACCTCGCTCTCTGCGCTGGGCAGCCTGGCCACCGCCGTGCCCACGAGCAGGGGCGCGCCGGCCCTCGCCGCCGGGCGCCCCTGCACGCCCGCGGGCGCGAACGCGGCGCCGCGGTGGGACGGGCAGGCCCGCAGGGCCGCCAGCAGCAGCCCGCGCCGCCGGTCGCTGGGCGCCGGCGAGCACAGCAGCGAGCCAGCCGCCTCCGGCGAGCAAGGCGCCCAGGGCGCGCGGGGGCCACGGGAGAGCCGAGCCTGGGCGGCCGCCGCCTCTGCGGCGAGCGCCGCCAGGGTGTCGGAGTCGGCCTCGCGGCGGAAGGCGCGCGTGAGGAAGAGCACGGCTCGCGCCATCGTCGCGTGCGGCCGCTCCGACTCGTGCGTCCCGCCAGGCACGATGAGCACCTGGCGCTCGCCGCCGTAGGCGCTCCGGAAGGCCTCGGCGTGGCTAGGCGGTACCAGAACGTCCTCCGCGCCGTGGACGAAGAGCGCGGGCACGAAGCAGCGGGCCGCCGTGCTCAGCGGAGGTTCCTCGATCGAGCGGGGCCCGCTGCCAGTCAGGGTGGCGCAGGCGGTGGAGGCGCTGCCCGACAGGGCGCTGCTGCCGCTCGAGGAGCTGAGGGACTGCGCTAGGGACCCCGTGGCAGTCAGGCTCTCCTCCCCGTCGTCAACGCTGGCGCCGAGGCCGCCCTGGCAGGCCACCCTGCCCGCGAGCGCGGAGCCCAGGTGCCTTGCGGCGTACAGCGGCGGCGCGGCCCACTGCGGCAGCCCGAGCAGCGACAGGAAGTCGCGGTAGACGCCGTCGCACACGAGCGCGGCCAGGGAGGGGTCCTGCTCCGCGCACTGCAGGGCCGTAGCGGCACCCGACGACCGGCCCCAGAGTGCCACGCCCTCGGCGCCGCCAGGCCGCCAGGCCGTGGAGCGCAGCAGGGCCACCACGCCCTGCACGCCCTCGGGCTCCGCGGCGCCTCCGCGCGACGAGGAGGCGTCGATCCCGACCACCGCCACCTGCAAGGGGACCAGGTAGCTCGCCAGCAGCGCGGTCTCCGCCGCGGCGCTGCCGCCCACGCCGCCCTCGCCTGGGATGTAGACCACCGCGCAGGCTGGCCCGGCGCCAGGCCCGCCAGGCTGGTACAGGACGCCAGCCGGCATCCTTTTTGGGGAAACAGCGAGGCACTGGCACCCCGACATACATGCGCTCCTCGGACCTGTCCTGGGGTGCGTCTGCCCAGGATGTCGAGGCGAACCTGGCCGTGGCGACGAGGGCCTCCCAGGAGGCCCGAGAGAGGCGGAAACGATGGAAGGGTAGCGGCAACGGTTCCTTTGCCTCCTCTGGCAACCTTCTGCCGGGCACCAGCGTTTCGAGCTGGGACGCGCTGACTCCGGCCACCTCGTGGTCCTTGAGCGCCTCCCACAGGCTCCCGCAGTCCTCGGCTGCACGTAAGAGTGGCCCTACAAGCAAGAATGACCTCTGGTGCGAAAAAATCGGGGGCCGCGGGGGGGCCGAACCGGATTGCGCAAGCCGCTGCTGTCGCCATCTGGGGACTCCACCCCAGACATGCATGCGACATCCTGATTTGTTCGGTGCGGGGTCCCTGGAAGCCCCGATCCTTTCCTGATCGCCGGCTTGGCATCCTGAGTCGTTTCTTGATGCTCCAGAGGCCCAGCGGGGGCTCCCAGACCGGAAACGGCCAAAAACCCGCCGCCCTGCTCTTTGTCACGACGCAGGCCTGTCATGGGACTGTACCCGCGCGCTAGGAGTCACTCTGGCGAATGGTCACTCCTACCCCTCTGCTGGAGGAAGTGGGTAGCAACATGAAGCAGGAAGGCGGCTAAAGCAGAGCGGGGCTCCGCTCGCCCCCTGAAGAGGAGGGACGAGGGGAAACCCTTCGATCACTGAAGCAGGAGGGCGCCTGAAGCAGACTCGGATCTGGGAATCCAGGAAATCCCGGGCGAATCCAAACGGTACGGATACCGCTACTCCCTGGACCTCTCCCGGGGCGCGTTCCGACCAGGACTTCGAAGCGAATCCAGCGGTGGCGATGAGGGCCTCGAGGCCCACAGAGGGGGAAAACGAGGGAAGGGTAGCGGTATCGGTACCTTCTCCTCCTCCGAATCCCTACTTCCAACGACCAACGGGTGCGCACATAGCCGAAGTCCGCGTCCGCCGCCGGCGCGCCCGAGCCTGCCGCGAGGCGCCACAGCGCCGACGCCCGCGCGGCCATCTCGCCCTGCCAGCCCGCCGGGCTCATCGCTGGCGCAGGCACGCCTGCGAGGCGGGGAGCTATCCACATCCACCGCCTGGGACCCGACGTCCTGGTGCCCCGGCGGGCGACGGAGATGGACCTATGTTTTGGCCCCCTGGGGCCCGAATATATATATATATATATATATATATATATGTGTATATATATATATGCATGTATACGTAGTTGTTTGTATGTGTATATGTATTGATGTATGCACGCAGGTTTTTTTTTTCATACCCATATCCGCATCCCTATCCGCCGCCCGTGAAGGTCCGCGAAGATCGATCCCCCAGACGGTGGTTATGGATAAGGCCCCGCCTCGCGACGCTGGTCAGGCGAGCGGGGCGCTGACCTCCTCTGCTGCTCTGAGCCACAGCAGCTGCGGACCAAGACCCCCTCGACTGAGGAACCCAAGTCGCAAGAAAGAGCGCGAGGAGGAGGAGGTGGAGGAGGAGAAGGAGGAGGAGAAGGAGGAGGAGGAAAGGAAGGGAGGAGGAGGAGGATGAGGATGAGGAGGAGGAGGAGGAGGAGGAGGAGGCGGAGAAGGAGGAGGAGGAGGAAAAGAAGGGAGGAGGAGGAGGAGGAGGAGGAGGAGGAGGAGGAGGAGGAGGAGGAGGAGAGGGAGGAGGAGGGAGAGGAGGGAGACGAGGAGGTTAGGTGTTTGTGGGCTGGTTACTCAACCTCTGGGGGCCCTTATCGGCTCTCGGGACCGTCAGAACAATACCAGAGGGGAATGCTGGTCCCGGGGAGTAGGTCGAGAACTCTGAGGTCGACGTTATTAACAATTTATGGTGTTGGGGATCCCGACCTCTAACGTCCTGATCAAACAAGGCTTGTGTTTTTCGTAATTCTATGCCTCCGGGGGCCCTCGCCGGGCACCACGGCCGTCAAAAAACTAGCCTCGCGAAGCTCCCTGTCTCAAAACGAAGCAATTCTGAGCAGAACCGCTCAATACACGCTAATACTGTGAGAGGCCTTCGGTGGAGGTCCCTACATGGAGCCACGAAGCATGTGAGGTGTGAGCGGGTGAACATGCGGACGCAGCCAGTGGGGCCTTCGGTGGGGCTGCCTCTGGGGCCACGAAACGTGTGAAGGGTGTGCCGACAGGGGGCGGGTGACCGTGCGGACGCAGACGGTGGGGCCTTCGGTCAAGTTCTATGGGGGCACGAAGCGCGTGATGGTGTGCTGCACTGGGGCGAGTCACCACGCGGACGTGGCCCCCGGACTCTTCGGTGGCGCCCACTGATGGGGCAACGGAGAATGTGAGGAATGTGCCGGAAGGAGGCGGGTAACCATGCGGACGCAGCCACTGGGGCCTTCGGTAAAGCTCCGCATGGGGCCACCAGGCGGGCCCTCCGCTCGGCGCCGCGCGGGCGGCGGCGACGGCGACGCTGCAGACGCCGGCGAGGCCGACGAGGCCACCAGGGCCCACCCGTGCGAGAAGGCAGGGGGGGTTCGAGACATCTCCTATCCCCTGCTCGGGGAAGCGTCGTGGACCTCGACGCTGGAGGTGGCCAAGCGACACCACCACCACCAGGGGGGCCACCTCCAGCATGGAGGTTCACCACCCTTCCCCCCCGAGCAGGGGATAGGAGATGCCTCGAGCGAAAGGGGGGGGGACCACACCACCAGTGGGACCCCCCACTGCCTTCTCGCACTGGTGGTCCCCAGTGGCCCGTCGGCCTCGTCGGCGTAGGCGGCGTCGCAGTCGACGTCGCCCGCGTGGCGCCAAGCGGAGGGCCCGCCTGGTGGTGGTGGCGTCGCTCTCCCGAGCAATAAAAAGACCCCTAACCCTTTGGGAGGGAACGCAAGTGAAGAGGGCCCAAAAAATTAGGGATAGGGGGTCTTTCTGCAGATGTGTCGAATCAAGACGCCCAGACTCTCTATCCCTGATGCAGAGACAAGGACATAATTGAGGCCATGGCTCGCAGACCGTGCCGCCGCCGTCGCCGCCCTCCGCCGATCCGCGACGCGCAGCGGCGGGCCCGCGCCCGCTGCGCAACCTCCGCTCGGCGACGCGCTGGCGACTGCGACGGCGACGCAGCGGACGACGGCGACGCCGCCGCCGCCGTGGCGGCCGCCGCCACCGCCGCCGCCGACGACGACGACGATGACGACGACGGGCGAGGACGAGGACGAGGACGAGGACGAGGACGAGGACGGGGAGGACGGGAAGGAAGAGGAGGAGGAGGACGACGACGACGGAGGACCGCCACCGATCACCGAGCTGCGCACACAGTCCGCGCGCGGCCGAGGCCGAGCCTTCGGCGCCGCCGCCGCGCCCAGAGCGCCGGAGCAGCACCTTCGCCTGCGCGCGCCGCGCGCGCGCGCGGCGCGCCCCGCGCGCAGCTGCGGCCGTGGCCTCGCGGGCTGCTGCCGCAGCGGCGCCGGCGACACCGCCGCCGGCGACGACGCCCACCGCCCACCGCCCACGTCGGCGCCGCGGTCCGCGCTGGGGTCGCCGCCGCCGTCGGCCTCCCAGCCATCGCCAGCGGAGTCGGTGACTGCGCCGCCGCCGGCGTCGCCGTCGTCGTCGGCCGGTGCCGTCGGCGCCGCCGGCGTCGTCAGCGCTGCGCCGGCTTCGCCGTAGACGCTGGCGTCGTCCGAGGAGGGTGGAGGCAAGACGCGCAGGCAGACGTATAATGAGGAAAAGACGCTATGAGCACAAACGTTTGGCGCTCGGCGCGGAGTTCTTGGAACCGCGCTCGAAACCCCCTCCCCGGCGCGCCGAGCGCGCGGGAGGGCGGTGCTCGAGGCGCCGCCAGAGGACCCACCACAGGCCCAATAAATCCGCGCGGAGCGCCAAAAAGTTTATGTTAATGTTTATGTTTTTTTCGTCTTCGAGGAGAGGGGGAGGAGGGCGATGAGGAGCCAAGTGCGCGCGCTCGGGACCTACCTCGTCGATCACCAGAGCCTTCCGCGCACGGCCGCTGCGCGCAGCTCTGGAGGGCTCTTCGCCTGAGGTGTCAATCTCGGCTTCGGCGGGATCCATACAGTGGAGGCCAATCCACAAGAAACCTTCCACAAGAAACCCAACCCTGAGACACCAGGGCGTCAAATTGGTTTTGGTGTGGGCACGTCACGGTTCCCATCGCAAAACCATCGAAACCCAAGAAACCCAGGGCACCCTGGGGGCAAGCAGGGTGTTTCTCGGCATGGGTCTCCACTGTATGGCCGGGCGACTGGATTTTTCAGGTCCCTTCCCCACGGCCCTCTGGATTTAGCAAGGACCTCGCGCAGGCGTGGCCACTGAATACCGAAACGCGCGCTTGGCCGACTGCTCCAAAACCCTGAGTATCCCTTCCTCGACCTCCCTCTGGGTACCAGCTTGGACCTCCGCCGGCTTCTGCCGGGCTTCCGCTGATAGCGCGGCGGCGACGGATGCGCCGCAAGGGGGGCCCAGCGCCGATCCAAAAAATCCGTGCTGACCTCCGCCTGTTTATGCGTACGCAGTTGTTCGGCGGCGAGCGAAGGGGGGAAATGAGAAGGAGAAAGCCTCCTCAGAAGGCTCGGAAGTCCCAAGGCCTTCTGAGAAGTGCTCTAAGCCTTCCCCAGAGACACGGGAAACGTCTCAGCAGACCAGAGGCCTTCTGAGAAGTCCCGCCGCCTTCTGAACAGGCCTTCTTCTTCTTCTCACTTTCCCCCCTCGCTCGCCGCCGAGATTTGTTCTTATTCGATTACCGCTGGCGCCTATCGAGTAGGGGATCGTCTACAGAATTAAGTTACCTCTAACTTGGTTCCCTCGTCGAGTGTACAACAGCTGCGCTTCATGTGCGAAGAGCATCCACGAGCACCCAACGCATGCTTCGTGGATTCGACGAACAAATCAGATGCTGGGGCAACTCAGTTCTGTAGCCGACCCCCTGCTCGAGCCTGGCGAGGGCGAGAGGTACTCCAGATTTCGTAATAAAAGGGAGGGGGTCTGGACCCTCCAAGACAAGCCATTTCAGACCACCCCCGTGGGAGAACCCTCCAAAACATCGTCCCAGACCCCCCCAGGCCCTCCAAGATCGCCTGGAAGAGACCCCCCCCGAAATGAGACCCCCCTCCCTGATCATCTCTCCTCCTCCTTCGAGGGCGGGGCCCCTGCGAGGCGCCCATGCTCCCCCTCGGCCGGCAGCTCCTGCTCCCCCCCGCCGCGCGGCGGCGGCCCCGGCGGCGCGCCGCGGCGCGCCGCGCGCCCTGCGAGCGGCTCCAGCGCGTCGTTCCGCCGCAGAGCGGGGCGGGTGGCCGGGAAAGGCTCGGGAGGAGGAGGAGGAGGAGGAGAAGGAGGAGGAGGAGGAGGAGGAGGAGGAGGAGGAGGTGGCGGGGCGGGTGGGCGGGTGGCCGGGGTCGGCGACAGTCCGAGTAGGGGGTCGACTACAGACTTGGTTTACCCCAGACTTAATGCTCTCGTCGAATCTACGGAGCAATACCCAGAATCCTCAGTGGGTTTACGAACCTTCTACGCATTTGTAATAGATTCGATGGGTAACATCGATTTTGGGTAAATCAGTTCTGTAGCCGATCCCCTACTCGAGCAGTAGGGGCCCGACCGCAACCCGACCACAAGAAGCCTTCCACGAGAAACCCAACACTGAGGCCCCAGGACTTCCAAGTGGCTTTGTTTGGTGCGGGAGCGTCGCGCTGTCCAGCGCAAAACCATCGAAACCCAAGAAACTCAGGGCACCCTGGAGGCAAGCAGGATGCTTCTTGGCATGGGTCGCCACTGCAAGATAGGCGGCGAGCGAGGGGGAAAAGCGAGTGGGCGGGCCTTCTCGGAAGGCTCGGACGTCCCTGGGGGCCTTCTAAGAAGTTTTCTCCGAGCCTGCCTCGAAGACACGACAAACTTCTCAGGAGGCGCAAGGGCGTCTGAGAAGTCCCGCCGCCTTCTGAGAAGGACATCTCCTTATCACTTCCCCTCTCACTCGCCGCCGATAAGAATGACCCTGGTTAAGAATGACCTTTGGCGTGTGGCATAAAAGGGGTACGCGGGGTGGCCAAACCCGGGCGCGCAAGCCGCTGCTACCGCTTCGCGCTCAGCGCTCAAGGGACCCCAGTGGGCCCGCACCAAGGGTCACTCCGGCGAAATGTCACTCTTACGTCTAGTCGCTGGGGGGCCAGGAAGTGAATAGCGTGTCGCGCAGAAGCATAATGGGCCAGAGCTGGCGGAGCGACACGCTAAGCCTCCATTTCTGACCGTACCGCTGGCATCTGGCAAGGGCGAGAGGTGACCCCTTTGACTCCTCGAGGGCGGGGCATCTCTCTAACGCCCCTGCCCCTCTCCAATGCAGGCATGGAGTGCTACGACTGAGGGCATGCCCCGTCGACTCGCCAGCCGCCACGCGCGCGGGAATTTTCAGCCCCCGTGCGGAGGCAGCTCGGACGGTCAGCCTTCCTCCTCTCCCGTTGCTCCTCATCATGGGGTTGGGAGGGCCCCCCCTGAGAAGGACTGGCAGGAAAGGGGGAGCCGGGAGGAGAAGGAGGAGGAGAAGAAGCGGAGGAGGAGGAGAAGGTGGACAACAATAGTAGCAAGAGAAGGATCTGGACGTCCGCTCCTCTCTCCCTTCCCCCCTCCTCCTCTCCCTGCTCTGCCCCTTCGCTTCCTTCTCCTCCTTCTCCACAACTGCTCTCCTCTCTCCCCCTAGAACCCCGAGGTCGTAGCCTGCGTCCTTCCGCGTTTTGAATTTACACGCCAGGTCCTCAGAAGATGGTCGACTATATGTGTGTTTGTTTCGGGGATCTGCTGACCCGGGTCAATCCAGACCCGGGTCAGCAGAAACCAAAAACTGCAATGCAGGAAACAAAAAACTGCAACGCAGGTCTTCGCAAACCCGGGTCAGCCAATAGGGGCGGCCGCCTCGCGGCCACGAGCGGCTCGCTAACCCGGGTCAGCCAGAGGGGGTCTTCGCAGGATCCTGCAGGATCCGGCGCCCTGGCTGACCCCCGTCTGCACTGACCCCCGTCTCGAGGCTCCCGATTGTTTCCACTCCGAGAGTATCCGGTGTTTCCAAAATGGCGCTCCCGCTACAACGTTGGCTCCATGTGTGGGTTCCCGGGCCTTCCAAATTATACTCCCGCTGCATCGGTGACCTCATTTCTTTGTTGCGGATCTGAAAAATCGTGTGCCCTATACAGCGCTGGCTTTCCCTTTACGCTTCCACTCTTTCCGAAACGTTCCTTTACATGTTTCGTATTGCGTCATGCCTGGTTTCCCTCGGAACCTATTGTGCGAATGAACCGTGCTCTCGACAAACGCTGGCTTTCATGTTACGCTTCCCGTCTTTCCACACCGTCCATCTACATTTCCCGTCCAGCGTCATGCCTGGCTTCCCTCAGAACATGTTGTCGAACAAAAATCGTGTTCTCGGCCCGGCGACGCTCCGCCGTGCTTTTCTACGCCGTGATTCGCCGTGCACTACCATGCATCACGCACCCTTTCGGGATCATTGCCCTGCTCGACATCCGACTGCGCGACTAGAGAGGAGATCTACGCCATTGCGAAGGATGGAAGGGAGGGGTAGGACGTCAACTAAGGCGCTTGCGCACCTAGCTTTTGTCCTCTGCCCCACTGCCTCCTCCTCCTCTGCCTCCTCCTCCTCCCCCTCCTCCACCTCCTCCTCCTCCTGCTCCTCCTCCTCCTCTTCCTCCTGCTCCTCCTCTTCCTCCTCCTCCTCCTCCTCCTCCTCCTCGTCCGCCTCCTCCTCCTCCTGCTCCTCCTCCTCCTCTCTCCATTACCCTCCTAAGGAGTAGGAGGACGACGAGGAGGAGGAGGTTTCACCCTGTCAACGTCCTCCTTATCTCTCCTCCTCGTCCTCCTCCTCCTCCTTCTCCTCCTCCTCCTCCTCCTCCTCCTCCTCCTCCTCCTCCTCCTCCTCCTCCTCCTCCCCTCCTCCATCCCCTCATCTCTCCTCCATGCTATTCCTCGCTTCTCCATCCCTCGTCTTTTTGTATATATATATGTGTATAAATAGATTGTTTCCGGTGAAAAAACAACTTCCTGTCGCACCCCCGAGGCCTGTCGACAGGGCGGGCCGGGCGGTTCACCTCAAACTTTCTCACCACTCATGATCCTGAAGCTGGAGCTTTAAAATAACTTCGCGGATGGAGGGCGGGCGGTGATCACACCTTCGTTCTCGCTTTAGCGCCGCCCGCCTTCGGCTGAAAACACGGCAGATGTTTCACGGACAGAGGGCGGATGGAGGGCGGATTGCTAGCACATGCAAGAGCTTCACGGATGGCGGGCGGGCCGGTGTTCGAGATGTGGCGCTCGTCTCGGCGCCGCGCACATTCGTCTTAAAACGTCGCATGAGCTTCACGGGTGCAGGGCGGGCCTTTCTCAAAAAGCGGCTCTCGCCTCGGCGCCGCGCACATTGGCCCTAAAATCCTGCAAGAGCTTCAAGAAGTGAGGATGGTTCCTTTTCAAAATGTGGCTCTCGCCATAGCCGCCGCGCACATTCGTCTTAAGCGTTTGCAGCAGTTTCAAGATTTCTCATGGTCAACGTGCCAGCAATGATGTTGGCACGATGTCAGAATGTCAGGGCGCAACTGTCGCGTTGATTCGCGGTGTTCAAGTCCCAGGAACGGCAGTCTGGCACGATTCAGGATCGTCAATACGCAGCAGAAGCGGTGATTCACGGCGTTGGAGTCACAGGACTGGCATTCTGGCACAATTCTGGATGTTCGAACGGTTGTCTTCCAACGGGGCAATTCCCTCAGTAAAAAAAAAATCCTTGTAGGGGCCTGCGAAGAAAAAATGGAGGGATGAGCTATTGCAAGATCTTTGGTGCGTCTTGGGTTTACACTGGTCCTCCTCGTTCTCCTCCTCTACCTGCTCCTCCTCCCCCCAACCTTGTTTCTTCCCGTGACGTTTTGTATGACGGTTCTGGGCCCTGGCACCCCATCCTGACAACGACCCCGTGGATGCAGAAAGTGCACAATAAAGCCCTAGGAGGCTTGAGCACATCAACAAACAAAGAGATTATCACCCAAACTCCTCAATCCTCCTTCCTCCTCCCCCCTCGCCTTTGCGCGTGGCCGACGGCGCCACAGTCATCCTGCCTCCTCCACCATCCATCCAGCCTCCTCCCTCCTACTCTACCTCCTCCTTTTCCTCCTCTCTCTCTCTCTCTCTCCTGCATCTCCTCCTCCCTCCTCCCTTATCTTCCTCCCCAGAAGGCTACGACCGACCTGTGGAGCACGCCCAAAGGGGTACGGCCGCACCCCCACCGCCAGCCACGCTCAGATGGCTACGCACCGACAGTACGTACGCCCAGAGGGGTACGGCTGATCTGCTCCTCTTTCGCTCCCTGCTGGCCGCCTGCCTCCCCCCTCCCCTAGTCTGGGCCAAGACCTGCAGTGCAATGCCCCCGCCTTAGTTGCGCTGGCCCGAAGGCCCTGCGGGGCGGAGGCGCACGCAACAGGGTGGACCTCGCCCCGGGGGGCGGGAAGGAGCCATGGAGACTCAACTGTCGACGCAATCATTCCGCCTCCTCCTCCTCCTCCTCCTCCGCCACCTCCTCCTGCTCCTCCTCCATTCCTTTTCCTTCTCAACAATTTCTCCCTGTCGCACCCCGAAGCCAGTTTTTAGGGCGGGCCGGGCGTTTCGCCTGAGACTTCCTCACCATTCATGGCTTTGAAGCTTAAGAAGTTGGCAACATCTTCTCAGATGGAGGGCGTGTGGTTTTCAAAATGTGGTTCTCGCCTTAGCTCCGCGCGCACTCGTTCTAACAAATCGCCAGAACTTCATGGATTGAGGATAACCCGTTTTCAATATGTGGCTCTCGTCTGGGCGCCGCGCATATTCGTTTTAAGCATCTGCAAACATTTCACGGATTGAAGATAACCCGTTTTCCGAATGTGGCTCTCGCCTTAGCGCCGCGCACATTGGTTTTAAACATTTGCAAAGGCTTCACGGATTGAGGGCGGTTCCTTTTCAAAATGTGGCTCTCGCCTCAGCGCCACGCACATTCGTTCAGAAAAATTGCAAGAGTTTCACGGATCCCCACGATCAACGTAACAGAAATGGTGTTTCGAAAGGATTCAGCATTGTGCGGGTGCAACAGTTACGTTGGTTCGCGGTGTTGGCATCCCATGAACGGCGTTCTGGCACGATCCAGGATTGTCAAGACGCAGCAGTCTGGTTGATTCGTGGCGTTGGAATCCCGAGAACAATGTTTTGGCATGCTTCTGGGTCTTCAAACGGTTGTCTTCCAACGATGCAGATCCCTCAAAAAGGACATGAACCGTTGTATGGGGCCTATGATGAAGGAGCTGGGAGGGAGGGTGTATCCCAACATCGTTGATAGCTCTTGGGTTTACGCTGGTCCTCCTCCTCCTCCTCCTCCTCCTCCTCCTCCTCCTCCTCCTCCTCCTCCTCCTCCTCCTCCTCCTCCTCCTCCTCCCCCCCCTCCTCTTCCTCCTCCTCCTCCTCCTCGTCCTCCTCCTCCTCTTCCTCCTCCTCCTCCTCCTCCTCGTCCTCTGCCTGGGCAGCCGGATGCAGCCGGGCGGAGCGAGGCGCGGCGGGCGCACGGGCGCCGCCTCCATCTCCACCCGGAGCTCCATGTGCTCCTGCCGCCGGGGGGTCGGCGTTCGGACGGCAGAAAAGCGACCGCGGATGAGATGACGACGTCGGCCGCCGACTCGGACATGGCCCGCGCCGCGCACAGCATGCAACGTCAAGCTCGGGGTTCCGTCTTCCGGCCGCAGGGGGGCCCTCGCCAGGCCCTGGGACAGTCAAAACGGCTCGGGAGGAAAAGGCGGCCCTGGGGGGAGGGTCGGGGCTTCTGGGGGCCCCGCACTGAAGCATGCATCACATCGGGAGTCTGGGGAGGGGCCCATCGGCGTGGGATTCAGGGGAGCGGGAGGGGGAATGGGCATGAGAGGGGGAGGTCGGAGGAGAAGCGCTCGGACAAGGAGGGGGTGGGTGGGCCTGGGGGGGAGGGAGGACGTTGGGAGTGGGTCGGCACTTCTGGGGGCCCCGCAAGGAAAGAATCAGGACGTCGGACGCCTGGGAGCGGAGGAGGCGACGCCGACGCGACACAGGCGACGCCGACGGCGGCCAGCGGCACCGATAGCTCGGCGGTGGGAGCGACCATGGCGGCGGTGGCTGTGACGGGGGGTCCTCAGTTTGCTCCTGCAGGAGGGGGGGGTGAGGACGGGTGGGAGAACGGGGACGGTGGATAAGAGGAGAAGGAGGAACAGAAGAAGGAAGGAAGAGGATGACAAGGAGAGGGAGGATGAGGAGAAGCAGCAAGGGGAGGAGCAGGAGAAGGAGGAGCAGAAGGAGGAGCAGCAGGGCAGGGGGAGGGGGGGAGGAGGAGGAGGAGGGAGGAGGAGGAGGAGGACGAGGAGGAGGAGGAGAGGAGGAGGAGGAGGAGACGAGGAGGAGAGAGGAGGAGGAGGAGGTGGAGACGGAAGAGGAGGCGGACAGGAGGACAAGACTGAGGAGGATGCGGAGGGAGAGGGAGGAGGGAGGAGGAGGAGGAGGAGGAGGAGGAGGAGGAGGAGGAGGAGGAGGAGGAGGATGAGGAGGGGCAGGAAGAAGAAGAGGTGGAGGAAGACGTTGACGATCAGAACGACGGCGATGACGGAGCGGAGGCGGAGGACCGAGGACGAATGGAGAATCACGAGAAGGGAGGAGGGAGGATGCGGAGGGAGGGAGGAGGACGAGGACGAGGAGGACGAGGAGGACGACGATGATTGTGGGGGAAAAGGAGACGTGATAAGGAGGGTGAGGCGAAGGAGGATCATGATGGAGAGAAGAAGAGGGAGGAAGGAACAGGATATATAATGAATGAGGAGGAGGAGGAGGAGAACGGAGGCGAAGGGAGAAGGAGGAGGAGGAGAAGGAGGGAAAAGGGGGAGAACGAGGAGGGAGGAGGTTGGAGCAGGATCAGGAGGGCCAGGGAGGGAGGATAGGGGGAAGAACAGGGAGGGGGGCTTAAGATAGCGGAGCAAGAGGCAAACGTGGAGCAGGAGGAGAGACGGACAAGGACTTAGGACGAGAAGGTGGGGAGATAGAGGTGGATGAGTCGTCGTCGAACGTCGGGTGGAGCTGTTTGCGGCTCTCGCAGGCAGAGGGGTGGACTCAGCGGCACGAGTACCACTTCCACCACCAGCCGCCCCAGACCCGAAGAGGGTGCAGGGGACCAAAAGCGAGGAGGAGGACAAGCGAGGCAAGGCGAGGAGGCCGCTCCAAGCCTTCCTCGCCGGAGTCTCCTCGCGAGGGGCCCGCACCCCGCGGCGAGGGGAGGGAGAGGGAGGAGGGAGGAGGGAGAGGGAGGAGGAGGAGGGAGAGGGAGGAGGAGAGGGAGAGGGAGGAGGGAGGAGGGAGAGGGAGAGGGAGGAGGGAGGAGGGAGGAGGAGGGAGGAGGGAGGACGGGCGTGATCAGGGCAGACCGCGCTGAAAGAAACAAAGAACTGAGGGCTGTTGAGCCCGCTTTAGGTGTGGCCCCCGCTTGCAAGCCTCGCTCGAGCGTGCTTGGCGAAGTTGCTGGCGGGGCCATGGCATTCATTCCGACAGCCCATGGATGTTGTAGGCATTCGGTGCAGAACCCGAACTTCAACAAACGGCAACACATCCAGTACAGGAGCAGCGACGGACGTGGGAGGAGGATGAGGCGGAAGACAGGATGAGAACGAGGCAGCGAGCACGAGGGCTGGCAGATGCTGACAGAGGAAACGGTCAGAGTGATCAGAGCTGTTGATGGTGAGAGCGTAAACTAAAAATGCACCAGCGGTGATCCGATACACCCTTGCGTCTCAAGTACGTCCAGCGACGGCTCGATTTGTTTCAAACGGCCAGCCCAAGGACCTTCCGACCCAAACCGTCAACATCTTGAACAACTCAAGTATGATGTGTGTAGCCGTTCCAGGCACGGAAAGCGTGACACATTCTCGGAGTTCGGGGGGTAAGACCGACGTGAAACGTGAGGTGCCCCAATCGGGACATCGTTTCGTTTCGTTCGTAACGTGCGCGCAGGCGGGGCGCGGGGCGATGCGAAGCTGCGCGAGTTGGTTCACTTGCTAAGGCCAAGTCTGACAAAACAGGGTCGCACGAGCCCCACCCGTGGTGCGACAGTTGAACCGATGTGTTGTCCCGATGCAAAACGCTATGGTTGTCCCGATTGCTGTCCCCATGATTGTCCCAATGCTTGATCAGATGGTTGTCCCAATGATTGTCCCGACGATGGTTGCCCCGACGGTTGTGCAGATAGTTGTCCCGATGGGTGTCCCGATGGGTGTCCCGATGGATGTCACGATGGTCGTCCGGATGGTCGATTGTTGTCCCGATGGTTTCTTCGCCTTTCATATCGATGCGACTCTTCAGGGCCCCAGGGCTCCTGCTGGGAGGACGAGAATGGCAGAGACCGAGCAGAGATTGAACCCACGGCGCCCGATTAGAGGCCTCCCGGATGGGGCCCGGGCACACGGGGTGGGAGTATCGAGCCGCACCCACGATGCATCGCCGATGCGTCGGCGATGCATCGGCGACGCTGGTGATGCATTGGCGACGTCGGCGTGAACAACCACGGGCTCCACAACGAGCCGCATCGCCGATGCCTCCGACCGCGCCTGCTCGGACCGGCTCTGGGAGGCGCAGACGGGTGCAGCCTCCTCGGGTCGCCAGGGCCAGAGGCTGGGCCTGGGCCTGCGAGCCAAGAAGCAGCCCCTGGGCATGCCTGCGGGGCCCGTCCTGGCCAGAATTCGGAACAGAGCCTGGCCGTGGCCACGAGGGTGCTCGGTGAAACCAGCAGCGGCGAACCACTGAGACGACACCAACTCCCAGGCCTCGGTCCTCGAAGCCTCGCTCCTCGAATCCTCCTCCTAATTGTCCTCACCCTGCCCAGGCCGGTCCAAGGTGGCATGGTAGTAGTCCAGCTCATCTTCGAGCTGTTCCTGACATGGCAGTGGGGCAGGATAGGGGACGGAGGGGAGGGTAGGAGGGAAAGATAGGCCGCAGCATCGTGATGCCTGCGAGGACGCGGAACACTAGCAGCAGCAGAAGCAGGGGGGAAACAGGACAGGTAGAGGTAGGGATAGAGATACACATATACATTTTTATATCCGCCGGCCCCCTTGTGGGGCCACCAGGCTGCGAGGCACGGGTTCGCAGTTTCCAGTACCAGTTGTAGCTTGTAGTTTCCAGTGTTACAGTTCTGCTTCTTGCTGGTTATTGTAAATAGTTGATTGACCGCGCGAGGGGGGGGGAGGCCCAAACAGGATTTTTTAGCACCCCCTGGGCGCGTTGTCTGAATTGCTGGGGGGGCTCGAAATCGACACCCCTCACGCAGATCCGCGGGGTCAGGGTCCAAAAACACAGGGGATTTGCCACATTTCTGAAATTCGGTGCCACCCCTCACGCAGATCCGCGGGGTCAGGGTCCAAAAACACATGGGATTTGCTACATTTCTGAAATTCGGTGCCACCCCTCACGCAGATCCGCGGGGTCAGGGTCCAAAAACACAGGGGATTTGCCACATTTCTGAAATTCGGTGCCACCCCTCACGCAGATCCGCGGGGTCAGGGTCCAAAAACACAGGGATTTGCCACATTTCTGAAATTCGGTGCCACCCCTCACGCAGATCCGCGGGGTCAGGGTCCAAAAACACAGGGGATTTGCCACATTTCTGAAATTCGGTGCCACCCCTCACGCAGATCCGCGGGGTCAGGGTCCAAAAACACATGGGATTTGCCACATTTCTGAAATTCGGTGCCACCCCTGACGCAGATCCGCGGGGTCAGGGTCCAAAAACACATGGGATTTGCCACATTCCTGAAATTCGGTGCCACCCCTCACGCAGATCCGCGGGGTCAGGGTCCAAAAACACAAAGGATTTGCCACATTTCTGAAATTCGGTGCCACCCCTCACGCAGATCCGCGGGGTCAGGGTCCAAAAACAATGGGATTTGCCACATTTCTGAAATTCGGTGCCACCCCTCACGCACATCCATCGCAAGGCGTGGTAACCCAAACTGCGAGTACTCCCTCGGCCCTTTAATCCCAAGGCGTGGTAACCAAGCTCGTAAACCATACACGTTTTACCAATCGCCCTGTGTGGTAACCCCTCTTGTGATCAGTTGGTTTTGCCGATTGCGAATCGGCCTCGCATGAAGTTCCGATACTGCTGCACGACAGCGCCAAAGCCTCATGACTTAGCTCTTCCATGGCCCATTCTCCGAGAGAGGGGGCCGGCGGCAGGGGGCGAAGCCCTTACGGATATATACATATATATATAACAACAACAAACAGAAACAAATAAAGGAAGACATCACGAAAGAGCGAGAAGGAGAGATCATAAGACAAGGGAATGGGGAGCATGCGAAGACCAGAAGGGCCCCTCAAACGTCGCGGCCACCAGAAGGAAGGATCCTTGGGGCCCCCAACACGTCGCGGTGACGTACCGTGCGGTGACCTCGAAATTCCGAACAACCGCACCGCATGGTCTGTCACCCCACCGTTGCTGGGACGCTGGATGCCTCAATTCCCGAAGCCGTGCGGTCACCCCGAATCCCACTGGCTCACCACACGGTGTGGACACCTCACCGTTTGGGCCCCCCGAGGTTTCTCTTGTCTTGTAACCCTGGTCGACGGATCCAGGTGGGGGAGCACAGCGAGAGCGAAGCACAGAACCACCGCTCGAATCAGAATGAACCCGCAGACTGGGAAGGCGTGCGACCAAACAAACAAACAATTTTAGCCCCCCGTAGAAAAAGTGGGCACGGCCGGAAGCAGCAGGCGACCTCCACCATCCTTGCGGACGTCGGGGTCGTCGATGCCATGAATATATATATATATATATATATAAGTATATATATATACTTATATTCACATATATATATATATATACATATACATACGCGCTGGCTCCGGCCAGAGCTGGGACCCTGCCAGAGCCGGCCCCCCAAGCTCGCCATGTTTTTTTACTGGCGCTTCCGGTCGTCGCACGATTTATCTCAGAACGTTCTGTAAGTCACCCTGATGACTTTCGGCGCTCTTTCGCAGAACCAAACCACACGATGCTCGTCCAGCATCAGACAGATCGGGCAGGAGTAGATAATGCCAATGATACGGATTCAATTGGAAACGTATCGGCCCCGCGGCTGCAAATAAGTATAGGGGACACGCGCGTCCAAAGCACACGCGCGCCTCTCCGCATACCGCTGGCCTCGAACATGCAGTCCCGCGTGCCGAGGCGCAGGAGAAAAAAGCGGCCTCCGCAGGCGGCGCACTGGCCGCCGCCGCCGCCAGCGGGGCACTGGCCCCTCGCCCCGAACTCTTCGGGCGATCGCGGCTCCCTGGGCTCTTCGGACTCTCCTCCAGCTCCTCCTGCTGGGATCCTCCGACTCCAGCGCCTCCTGCTGGGATCCTCCGCCTGCGGTTCGTCGACGTCTCTTCGCAGGCCAGCATCGCCTGTCCGGGCCCCTGTACTCCACGACCAGTGTCTAACTGCTCGGGGCGAGCCGGAGAGCTTCGTGGACCTTGCTGAAGTGTCAACAGCTCGAGGAGACAAGCTCGCCTCGCCCTGTTGTCTCGCTGTCCTCCTGGGGGCCTTCGGGGGGCCCCCCGCTGCCACGGGGTCGGCATCGCACCCGCAGGTGTCACCCCGCGGGGGGGGGCGGGGGGGCGCTGCGGGCGGGCAAAGCTGCGCCAGGGCGTGGCACAAGAGCGACAGCACAACCAGAAAGCCTTGGATCTGATACTCGCACGATCTCCCAGACTTTGTGGGCCCCAGACGGCAGGGCAATTTTTCACCGTTTCCAGAAAAATGTTCCTTGAACATGGAAACGGCAAAAAAACGCCTACCGGAAACGGCCAAAAAACGGCTCAAGGATTGGAACTGGGGCCGGAACCGGTCAAAAAACGGCGACGGAACCGGTAACAAAAACGGCGTCGGAACCGGCAACAAAAACAGCAAAACGGAACCGGTAACAAAACGGCCCTGTCGTTTCCAGGGCCCTCCAAGCTCCCAGACATCTGCCCTGGCAACATCGACCCGATTGCGGTCCACACGGCCCGGAACTCTGGGATAGCGGAGCGACACGGCGGCCCCGGCGCCACGCGATGTCTTGCGAGTGGATAGCGTGTTGCTCGAGAGGTCAGGAAAGGCTCGAGAAAGTCGAGAAAGGCTCAAGAAAGGGGGGGAGGAAGGAGGAGGAGGAGGAGGAGGAGGAGGAGGAGGAGGGAGGAGGAGGAGGAGGGAGGAGTGTGAGGAGGAGTAGGAGGAGGAGGAGGAGGAGGAGGAGGAGGAGGAGGAGAGGAGGAGGAGGAGGAGGAGGAGGAGGAGGAGGAGGAGGAGGAGGGAGGAGGGAGGAGGAGGAGGAGGAGGGAGGAGGAGGAGGAGGAGGAGGAGGAGGCGGGAGGAGGCGGGAGGAGGAGGAGGAGGAGGAGGAGGAGGAGGAGGAGGAGGAGGAGGAGGAGGAGGAGGAGGAGGAGGAGGAGAGGTCGAGAAACGCTCCGCAGGCCGGGAGGTCGGGAAAGGCCCGGGACGTTCACGCCTGGGGACCGCGACGTAGACTGCGTGTCGCGCCGCAGCGCCACGCTATAGCGGAGCGACACGCTAAGTCAGAGTTGCTGGCCGTCGATGCCGAATCAGCTGCTCACACGATTTCACTCATGCGTCTCCTAGACATCTGGTCTGGCAACATGAACCCGGTTGACCTCCACGCAGCTTGGCCGATTTGAAACAGAGCATGGTTTATTCTCGGGGCAATGCTTGGGTTAATGGGCGCCCTCGAGCGTCACAATCGAGGTCTGCTTCCGGGCCCCATAGCAAAGCCCTTGTTGCCACAGCCGGGTGCAACTCGGAAAGCACGTCAGGGTGGAAGGAAGAAGGAGAGAGAAGGGATGGGACAAGGAGATGAGGATGATGACGATGAGGAGCGGGAGAAGGACAGGGAGGGAGGAGGGACGGGAAGGACGAAGACACCGACGGCGACGAGGCTCTCGCAGTCGCTCCGAGCACAGTTTTCTTAAAAGTGTGCGGCAGTGTCAAGAATTGAGGGCGAATCCTTTTCAAACTGTGGCTATCGCCCTAGAGCCGAGCGCATTCGCAGTAAAAGTCTGCAAGGTTTCCAAATCCGCCGATCCGGCGCGTGAGTTTGTGAGAGCGTGGGCTTGAGCTCGCTCAAGCTTCGCTCTGGAAAAGGGGGGGACGAATTCCAACGGAATTCACTGAACGCACAAGCCCCCCCGCCCCCCCGCCTCCCACACACACACACACACACACTTCCCTCTCTCCGAGAGGAATCCTCTTCTCTGACCGCCCCCCTTCGACAGCCCCCCCCAAACACAACAAAAGATTCCCCCCTTCCGACATATCCCTGTCCGCTCTTCCGCCTTCTCTCCTACAGACCCCTCCCCCCCCTCGAGGACAAACCCTCCCCCCTCTTCCGACATATCCCTTTCCGCTCTTCCGCTTTCTCTCCTACAGACCCCTCTCCCGCTCTCACAGACCCCCAGGACAGACCTCACCTCTCCGAGAATTCTCCTTCCTTTTCTCCGACAGAGCCTCTCTCCTCGCCGTTCAGGCCCGGGAAGGAGGAGGGGAGGGGGGGGGGAGGGGGCTGACGTCATTCAGGCCCGGGAAGGAGGAGAGGAGGGGGGCTGACGCCACTCAGGCCCGGGAGGGAGGGGGGGGGGGGGGGCTTCGCTCTGTCGGGGCGAGGGGCTGACGCCATTCAGGTTCGGGTCGGGAGAGATGGGGGGGGGGGAGGGGGGGGGCGACGCCATTAAGGCCCATGAGGGAGGAGGGGGGGGGGGGGGGGGGGGAACGCCATGGGGAGGAGGGAGGAGGGGGAGGGTGGGGGACTGATGCTATTGAGGCTTGGGAGGAGGAGGGGAGGGGGGGGGACGCCATTCAGGCCCGGGAGGGAGGAGGGGGGGGGGGAAGGGGAACGCCATGGGCAGGAGAGCAAGGGGGGGGGGGGGGGGGAACGCCATGGCTGACGCCATTCAGGCCCGAGAGAAGTCGGAGGGAGGGGGGGGGAGGGGGGGGCTGACGTCATGGCTGACGACATTCAGGCCCGGGATGGGGATCTGGGGGGGGGGATGGAAGGAGCCCTGACGCCATGGCTGACGCCATTCAGGCCTGGGAGGGAGAAGTCGGGGGGGGGCGGGGGCTGACGCCATGGCTGACGCCATTCAGGCCCGGAAGGCGGGAGGGGGCATCCCATGAATTTGGCTGTTCACGCGAGTTCGTCACTTTCGAATATCCGAATGTTGCCCAAGCGAGTTCAACATCTCTATCTTATGAGGATGTCTCGAGCGAGCCTCTTCTTTTAAACATAAAAGGTCCTCCGTTGCAAGCAGAATCGGTAGCACCCTGGATCGGCGGCACTGGCCGGAGGCCACTACAATATTCGTATGGTTGAATTTCCTGGAACAGTGCTCTGCCACGGCTTAAGATAGCCAGGGCGCAACAGTCATGCTGATTCGCAATGCTGAAGTCCCAGGAAAAGTGACCTGGCAAGTTTTAGGACCAGAAGGACGCAAGCGTCGCCTTGATTCGCGACGTTGAAGTGTCAATGCGATAGAGGATTCTCAGACGGTTGTCTTTCAACGGGGCACTTCCTTCAATGAGCATACATTTTTGCAGGGACCTGTGAGCATACATGTTTTGCACCATCGTTGATGCGCCTTGGGTCTAGTCGTCCTCCGTCTTGTCCTTCCTCGTAATCTCGAAACGTCCGCACCGTAAGAAGCCTGCGAAAGGCACCGAGAAGGATGGAGAGAGGGAGGAGGGAGGATGAGGATGGAGAAAGGTGGGGGGGAGAGAAGGAAGGAAGAAGGGGAGATGAGGGAGAAGGGGCTTTGTTTCAGACTAAGTTTCGGACTATGTGGGGGGAGGGGGGGGGGAGGAGGGAGGAGGGAACAAGGGAGGAGGAGGGAAGAAGAAGAAGAAGAAGAAGAAGAAGAAGAAGAAAAGGGGGGGGAGATGGTTAGGAGGAGTAGGGAGGAAAAAGGTGGGGGGACAGGCGCAGGAAGAGAAGAAGGGACGGAGGAGGGAGGAGGAGGGAGGAGGGAGCATGGCAGGGAGGTTGGGAACGAGGACGAGGAAGCGGAAGTCCCCGCTCGCAGGCAGCTCGCGCCGAGCAGTGCTCGCCAGCGGACACCGCGCGGAAAGGCGCGCACCGCGCGCGACCGGCGAGCGGCGCGGGCTGGGCTCCTCGATGACGGCCCACATGCCTGAGGACGGCGCGGCGCGCGTAGAAGTCGTCCACGACGTCGCCAGCGTCGTCGCTGTGTCGTCGTTTTCTCGTCGTCGTCGTCGCCATCGTCATCGTGTCCAACGTCGTCGTCGTCGTCGTCGTCGTCGTCGTCTTCGTCGTCGTCGTCATCGTCGTCGTCGAAGTCGTCGTCGTCGTCGTCGTCGTCGACGTCTTCGTCGTCGTCTTCGTCGCCGTCGTCGCCGACGGTGTCGTCGACGGATCATCATCGTCACATCCTCGTGGGGTCGTCGTCGCCGCTAACGTTGCGGCCGCCGCCGCCGACGTCGCCGTCGTCGTCGTCCATCTCCTCCTCCTCCTCCTCGTCCTCGCCCTCGCCCCCACTTGTCACCATCCTCGTATTCTCGAAGACGAGGGCAAGACAGAGGCAGGGTCGGGCAGAAGAACTCGGCCAGGACTCCCTGCAAGAGCCGGCGGGGGCCGCGCGGTCGCTCCGCCTCGCGGGCGCCCGCGAAAGCCGTGACAACGTGCTAAGACGCCCTCGGAGCGGGATGGACTGGAGCGATGGAGGCGACGCCACTTGGGGGGTCGGGCGAAAGGGGGGGATAGCAAAGGGGGGGGTTGAGAATCAGCTCACGTAGCTGATTTTCGTAACCCCCCCTTTCCCAATCCCCCCCTTTCGTCCGGCCCGAACTTGGGGGGGTCGGCAGGGGGGTGCAATACATTCGCTTGGGCGAACTATTGCGCGAGCCCGTGCGCGAACTGTTGCTGCGGGCACGAGCTGTTGGCGGGGGCGTCAGCTCCTGGGTCTGATAGAACTGCACGACTGCATCCACGCGCAGCTACCACGTCCACACCACGTCCAGACCGCAGAAACAAGCTGCAAGGACTACTGCACTTCTATTACGGCACCCCCATCTGTGCTACCCCCACAGTTCCGCTTAGAAAACCCTTGTCCCAGGCCTGCCCGATCTCTCGGTGAGGCTGCGGGCTGCGCACAAGCGCCCCCTGCGGAACGCCCCAGGGGCGCCGCCGGAGGCGGCTGCGACCGCCCTGGACTCCTCGGGCGGCTGTTGAGGCCAGCCAGGACTGCCTGGGAGGGCTGCCTGTGCGCAACCCGATGCCCTAGCAGCTCGATCTCTCAAACTTCCCGACCTCCGACGTCATGATTTTCGCACAACCTGGGCCCCTGGAGGTCTAGACACAATCCCTGGGACCGGCTATTCATCCCGAGTCATCTTTCGACGGCCCCAGTGCCAGACGCCGCCACCCAGAGGCCGAAAAGAGCCCCAAAGCAGCCGACGTGTCTTTTTTTCACAACGCGACAGGGTCTGGGCTCTCTACCCCCTCCCATAGAGGGCGGCAAAACCACCCTCAAAATACAGCGGAGGCCACTCCTGAAGAAGCCTTCGACAAGAAACCCACCCCTGAGACCCCAGGACGTCCATTGATTGTTGGTCTGGGAACGTCGCGCTCGCCATCGCAACACCATCGAAACCCAAGAAACCCAGGGCACCCTGGAGGCACCCACAGAGAGCCGCAGAACCACCCTCATAACAAGCACCCCGACAGACGAAGCCCTTCATAGCAAACGCAACTGAGGAAGAGATCGACAAGGGGGCGAGGAAGCGGACAGGATAGGACGAGGAGGAGGAGGAGGAGGAGGAGGAGGAGGAGGAGGGCTGCTTGGCAAACGTCATCTGCTGTGGGTCGGGGTGGTTTTCTGCCCTTGATTCCAAGCCGAAGGCTCCCAAATGCCTCCGCACCCAGATCATCCGCGACCAACAGTTTTCGGTCACGGATCTCGGCCGCGCCAGATTTCCGTCGCGACCGCGAGGGCTCGAATTTCGGCAACGAAGAGAGGCGGCGCGTCGGGGTCCCAGCGAGGGTCTCGAAGACGTCCACGGCTCGCTCGTGACCGGAACTCGCGACCGGAGGCCGACTTTCGGTGGCGAGCGATCCCGTCCAGAGCGCTGCCAGAAATTGTCGGCAAGTGGTGATCTGGGCCAGTCCAACAATTTGCGCGCCCGAGATGGGCACTACGATGCCCAAGAACACATGTTGTCCAACACTGACAGCGCGGCCGCTGTTGGGCAGGCGGCCCTTTTTCTTGGGGGGAGGGACAAAACTGCGGAGACGCCGACAGCGAACCCTGTTCAGAGTGAACAAGAGCTGCTGTTGGACTTTGTAACGACCGTACTCATTGCTGCCGTACCCACTCTCCACCACCAATACCATAGGTAGGAGAGGGATGAGGAGGAGGAGGAGGAGGAGGAGGAGGAGGAGGAGCAGAATCTCCTCCTCCTCCCCTCTCCACCGTCCTACACATGGCAGTGGTGATGGAACGTTTGCCCGCCAGTACCCCCTTCGATCGTCCCAGAGCAAGGGCGGCGGGGAGCGGCACCCCGGCTGCAGCCCTCGTGCGCGGCAGCGTCCGCGCCGCAGGCGGCGCCCGGGTCGCTCTGCGGACTGCGGCGCGGGCGGGGCGTCGCAGCGGCGGCGAGGGCGAGGACGACGGCCCAGATCACCGACGATATAGCGGTGGGCTTGCTTTCCACCGCCACCAACACAAGGAGGAGGGGGAGGGGCTCCCCCTCCTCCTCCTCCTCCTCCTCCTCCTCCTCCTCCTCCTTCTCTTCTTCCTCCTCCTCCTCCTCATCCTCCTCCACCTCCTTCCCCCCACTCAACTTATGGTGGTGGTGGTGGGAAGCAGGCCCATCAGATATGGCCTGCTCAAGTCGGGCCGGTGGTGCGGGGGGGGGATGCCCTGCAAGGGGGGGGTGAAGGAAAAGGGCCGACCTGGGTCCTCGAAGACCCCTTTGGGAGCCAGCAGGGGCCCCGAAGGGACCCTCGAAGACCCATTTGTCGGAGGCCTGGGAATTGGCACCAACACCAGCACAGGGGTATTGCCTCCACAGGGGGAAAATGATCCTAGATTTCGGGGCTGGTGGTAATACTTCGGTCACCTTGGAAGCCAGAATTTTACCACCATCACCGAGATCGGGATCGTCTTCCCTCGGTGGAGGCACACCGCCGATCTTGGTGTTGGTGTCAAGCTCTAGGCCTGCGACATTGGGGCCCATTTTCCCCTCCCCCATTCCGGTCACACCCTCATGAATTACCACCCGCTCGATCAGTCTGGGCGATATTTTATGGACTTCGGACCCCGGTGCCTGTTATCGAGCCCCGGGACCATTCAAACATTAATCCAGGGGTGCAGAACTACTCTGAGGTCGGGCATCTCCTCCTACATGCAGATTTTTGATTGAGAAAAAACATGAGTAATACATAATCGAAAAATGCGCGAGAAAACAACAACAAGTCAAAACATCGTTCCGACTAAATTTTGACTATTTTTGAACATCCATCCTGCAGGGGGACGTGCCCGACTTCGAACTGCTCCCTGGGAAGGGATCAGGCCCTCTGGGGCCGCGGCTTGGACAGTACAGACGGGAGAGTGCCTTGGTGGGCCCCGGAAACGGCAGGGCCGTTTTTCACCGTTTCCGAAAAAGTGTCCCTTGAAAATGGAAACGGCAAAAAAACGGCGACCGAAAACGGCAACGAAAACGGCTCCAGGAGTGGAACTGGAGCGGGAACCCGTAAAAGAACGGCGACGGAGCCGGCAAAAAATCGGCGTCGGAACCGGCAAAAAAACTGCAAAACGGAACCGGTAAAAAACTGCCCTGTCGTTTCCAGGGCCCACTAAGGAGTGTGCCAGGGAACGACCAGGACGAGACCTGATAGCCTTGCGTCGCGATTCTTCGCAGGCCAGTGATTCCAGGGCTGGATCTAAACGTGGTGTTTCGCTTCGTTTTCGTCTTGTGCTTCGTTTTGCTCCTCCTGCTTTCCTGCACCTCCCTGCTACAACGAGCAACAAAACACCGTCGAAGTCCAGCGAAGCAGCGTTCAGGTCCAGCCCTGGGCGATACTGCCTTGCTCTGGGCCCCGGGGCCCTCACGGGCCGATACCCCGCATGCAGCAGAAATCGGATGGTTACCGACCTGGGTCAATGCAAGCCCAGGCCAGTCAGGCGACGCAGGATCCTGAAAGATCCTGCAGGATCTTGCAGGATCCCGTGCGCTAGCCCAGGTCAGCTCAACCCTGGCTGTGCAGGATCCTGCCAGATCCGGCGCCCTGGCTGACCCCCGCTTGCTTTGACCCCCGTCTCAATGCTCCCGACAAAAAAAACGGGGGTCCAAGGCTCTGGTCGAGTTTCACTACGATGTAATATTTTGTTCGTGGCGTCGTGCCTCATGGGGGACGAGGGACGGGCGCGTCGGCGCACACGATCGGACGATGTGGACGACGTCCTCGACAGCCAGCGGGCTGCTGGTTGGTTTGTTTGCTCTCGAACCGCAGCGCTTTTCCTCAAGCTCGGCACCCCAA